TGTCTGCTACCACATTATTGGACAATCACCTGAATCAACAGGTGAATGACGGCAGCTGGAACCTCCTCCAGCAGCTAAATATGTGAATTAACACTGATTGTGTTCGTTGAAAAAAACAGAAAGACTCTTCTCAATGTGCAAAAGGGAGCTTTGCAGCATGAAGGACGTATTTGAAGCCAAACTACGACACTTTTCTCAACACAACAAAGTCGTTTTTAGCCTAAATGTGGCTGAACAATAACAAGATAAATAATAAGAGTCTTAAATCAAAGTTTGCTGACTAACACTTTAAAAACCGGCTGCTTTCCATATTGCTGCTGTCTGTCTGAAGCACCGTTCATATTCTAGTTTTATATCTATTTTTATATTATTTAATTCTCCTCCACATCGTGACGATAAACGGCTCCACTGTCAGCTTTATGCTGCACTGCTGCCACGTTACTGGATGATGGCATAAATAAACAGGTGTTTGTCATAAACTGCTCAGTGAGCCTCAGTTTACCGTCACTCTTCTACGTTTTCTGGACAAAAATCAAGCCTCCAGAAGCTAAATCCCCGCTGTGGCATTCAGGAAATCGCTGTAATGTCTTCTGTAGAAAGACAAAGATGTGATTCTCGCCTCCTGTCCGTCGCCGTTTCCTTTCCAGCATCGTGTCATCGTCCGCTTGTTCGTCCAGAAATGTTCTTGGACGCAGCTTCTCCGCCGGTTCGTCGCCAAAGTGGTGTCGGTGTGAAGTTTCTCGTCCAAATCCTTCCTACGGCCGACCAAGCCTCGCAGTCTCCAGGCAGGGAAGCTGTGGACACAAATAAACGTTGAATTAAACCGTTTTTGCAACCTGGAGATGAAATTCTGACTCTGAATCGATCGGTGGAGAGAAAACTCACAAACTAAACCAGCGTAAAACTGCATCATTCCACCTTAGTTCACCAGATCCTTTTTAAAAATTCACACCTCTTCAGTTTGACTCCTTTTTCTGTCTTAAAGCGTCGAGTGTTGATTGATTGACTGATCGTGTGTCGGTAACGTGAGTTTTTGAGTTTAAAATCCTTCAGGTTTGGGCAGGTTCATTGGTCTGTCCATCTCGTCTCCAGTAGGTCAACACAAACCAGTTATGAGATGGTGCACATTTGTTCAAATCAGTTCTTTATTTTTCACCCCAAGAGGCTGATTTTTCCCTGTAATCGGCACC